TTTTTTTTTTTTTTCTTAGCGAGATCTTCATGGGTTCTCCCGAAATGAAAGCCCATAATCAGATTCATTTCTGATTTGCTGTTGAAATTCTTTCGGGCAAAAATACTTTCTTTTAGAAGTACTCCAGCGGTTTTGAGACAATGCCACAGCATTATACAGATGGGCCTGAAGGTTATCCGGCCGACCTCTATAACTGTGCTAAACTTCTGTATTACACGTTCAAATAATGTGTTGTTAATAACGTGCTGTTTATTTAATGTTCTACCTCTTCGTCTTTTAAATTTCTTGTTTGTTGGTCTTCTTTTCGCTGAAATTTTAGCAGAAATTTGATAGGGCTTTCATTTACTAACACACACCTTTTAGCCTGTTTACCTCCATGACTTTGCTCACTTTCAAGAAATGTTTATTTTTTTAAAATAATCTACTTGGGTTCAAAAATATACAAAAAAACAAAGGGCACCCTGACAGCTGGATGAGAAAAACATAGGTTCAAATGATCAAATTAAGAAATGCAATTTCCCATCAAATTGGGGAACAGAAAAATAATGGTGGAGTAATCTTTAAAAAAAGCCAAAGGGGAAGAACCCGCATTTATTAATTCTCACGTTCTCCGTACAAAAGCAGTCCACCACCACACTGAAATTTAGGCAAAAACGCAGACACCCTACGAATGTAGGGAAGCCGACTTCTAACCCTTCTTTGCGTTTGTCAGGGAGGGTACGGTAGTTGACTACTGAGAAAAATGTTGACTTAAGCTTGATCCGTGTGGTTTAAAATAATTTGTTCTACCAGTTCCAGACTGTCTTGACGTCACACTTTGGCTACAGAACACCTGCTTGGTTTTAATGGAATCTAATGTCTTTGGTAAGTCATTTGCTGGGACGCAAAAAGACGGATGAGAAAAAACTTTATTTGGTGCTTTTTGAAAGCACACGCACCGTCGAAAAAAGAACTATAAATCTAGAAAATATATAAAAAAAAATCACATCGGCTTGGAGCACCAATCTACCTGTTTGACTATGCTACCAGCACTGACTTTCATAAATATACTTGTGCAAAAAAAAAAAAAAAACTCAGTAATCAAGCTCGTCAGCTGAACTGCCTCGATCTCCAACCTGCAAAGATTTAAGTAAAACAACCGGAAAAATTGAAAAAACTTTTGACAAAAAGAAGTCGTCAAGAAGTGAAAATGAAACCAAAACGCAAACGAATTTTTGGGAACTGGCGCAAATGAAATCTTTCAGCAGATGAATTTCAACAATGAAAGGCAGAGGAAAGACAAAATTTTTGGAATCCAGGACCTCTCTGCCGGCAGTCTGACGAGGTATAACGGCTTCCTTAAGAGGCGCATTATCAACGTCTGTTAGGCTGAAGTCAAGTTTTGGAATAGACCTAAACTTCCCCGAACGAAGAAGGCGGTACGGCGGCCGACGTACCGGGGCAGACATAATGTTACGTGCAAATCCCGGCTCCATCTTAAAATAAGAGAATACAGGAATGACAAGTAAACCTCCAGAATTTACATTATGTTAAAAGAAAGCAAATTTTCCTCTATAATACATGAAACAAGCGAATATGAACTAAAAATGAGAAATATACTGAGTGTGGAGTTCTAGTTTGAACAAGAAAGGACTCTGTATTAAAGTAAACTAGATTTTTTAACTCGAGCAAAAAAGATAATGAAACTGTATGCGATAAAAACTACCACATAACGGGAAGAGACAGGGGAGCTGGATCCTACTATACCAGTCAAGTTTTCATCGTTTATTGGTTTTGCAGATGGAGGTGTCGAAAAACCATTGTTTTCCAAAAAACTGGCATCTTTGGCCTCAGCAGGCCTAAAAAAATATTGTCAGCAATCCAGGGCACCTATTTATTGTGAATGAGGAAAGAAGGAAGAATACCTAGTGGTACTTAACTCTCTAATAGCAGTAGAACACTGAGGACTGCTGCTCTTCTCAGGTGGATCATTGCAATGTATCTTGTCCTCCAACGACCTGTCGTTGTGGGCAATACCTTTAAGAGGCGGAGATTGAGTTGTATCATGACATACATTTGAAGAATCTTCATTCTTCCAATAAGGAGAACCTGAATGAAGTGAGTTATCGTTTTTAGATCCAGAAATAACTAATGCAAAACGCGTAAGTGAAAAACGTGACTGTTAGACGACGAGAATCGAAAAAGGTGTGCTAAAGCAGAATGAAAGAATATACAATACATTTTACATTTAAATCTTCTCAAAAAATGATCTGAGCAAAGCAAAGAAAATATGAAAACTAAAGCACATACCTTTGTCATCACCTGTATTGGTATTTAAGGGGTGCAAGGCACAAACCTCTTGTCTTTTGAGTGAAGGTCTCCAATCCTGTAAAAGGCCCTATGCTTAAAGAATAATGGAAAAAATGTAAACAGTAGGGAAGGCGATAAGAAAACCCTAAAAATCTTTGAAGTATTAGAATGCAAGAACAAAGGCGAGAAGTAAAGGCGAGAAAACGAACACGATGGAAGGCTTTCTCAATACGAAGTGAAGCTTTCCAGAGCTTGTGTGAAGTCAGCCATTTTGCAGGTAGTATGAATGGCAGAGCAACGACCCATAATAAAAAAATTAAAGCAGTCCACGCCTTTTTGATGAACCGAGCCTATAAAAAAAGATGAACTTGTTTAGAAAAACATGAAATGAGACAACAGTAACCTTTTCAAACTTGACAAAGGGTGAAGACAACAAAAAAAAAAAATTAAACTCAGAAGTGCACATTTCTCATTTTTACAAGGAAGCTTCAAGAAAAACACTACGCAAAACATACCATACTGTAATTCAGCGGATAACGCTTCCTGAGATAGTACTGTATAGTTGAATCATTGAAGAGCTCACGCGCTGTGGGACGCTTTTCTGGGTTGAGCTCCATCATCAAAAATATCAGTCGACGCAGCTTCGGCGGGATACCTTAGAAAATCAAATACGCTTGTTCATAAGCTTAAGTGTTAATAACAGATAATATTGGTAATTAATTCTAGAAGCAGACTTAATACCCATCTAAAAGCGAAAAACAGTGAACCTTTTGTAAACTCTTCCGGGATCCGACCTTCTCGCAGCATGTGCCAACCATCACCACGTGGTGGCAGGTCTAGATCAGATGCTAATTCAAGCATAGATATGCC